TAAGCTGGATTTGACAATACTCTACGATAGTTTTTCACTTCTTTCTGGGTGTTTGATTAGTGTAAGTGATTATAAACTACATATTTTTTAGAATCTCTAAAACTCTTCCAGTAATAAAGATTCTTTTTTCACATTAGATTCGCTGATAAAATTAAAAAATGCAAAATTTGACTATCAAATAAGTTTAAAATTTAAAAGCAGTTGTAAAAATAAAAAAAATACAATTAATATAATTTTTTAAATTTAAGAGCAGTTACAGAGAAAAAGGAAAAATTAACATAAATTCTTAAAATTTAAAAGTAGTTAAATAAGATAAAAAATAACTCGGGCTAATGAGAGTTTTAGTGCGAAGACAGTTATCGAATTTCTAATTACTATTTACAAATATTTTTATTTACAAATATTTAAAACGTGAATAATGATAGAAACGTTTCGGGTTCATTTTGAGCCATGTGTTGAGTTTACAATTACATTCCTACTTCTAACTCTTGCCAAATAGGCGAGCGATGATTCGATTTCATTCTCTATTGCATTGACATGGCAAAGAACGAGCTGATAAAATTCCATTTTGCCACATTGTCCAAATTTCAAGAAATCCGTTGAGTTTTAATATTTTAATGAATAAGATGTGAAACGCTTCTCGAAGGTCAATATTCGAATGTAATTATGTCTGTATCATTATTCATTTTATTAATTATTAAATATTTGTAAGTTCGAAATTCGATAACTGTTTTTGCATTAATCGCGCTAAAACTCATTAACCCGAGATGTTTTTTATCTTATTTGACATTCTCGAGAGTTATTCTGTTTTTATTTTTAAAAATAGTTAAAGAAATATATTTGATGTAAATCTTTATAAAAAATGTGAGAAGATACAATTGTTTTGCTTATGAGAAACAATTTGAATCACAATTGTCAAAGATTCAAATTTGTTTGTATTATATTTAATTTATCTGTAATTTCCATACCATAATTTTCATCACGAATGCATACTCACATTTTATGAACCAAGCAACAGCCGCGTCATCATAAGTTTTCCTTATAGGATCGCATAAATGTACATCTTCGCCGTGATAGACGGCACACTGTTCATACCGACTTCTTAGAATAAACAAAATTTGATCTTCTACTTCTCTAAAAAAGAAACAAGGAAAAACAATATCAAGAAGAAAGGAGCAATCAGGGAAAGGAGCAATCATTACTCTGTGGCAAACATTCTCAGAATTTTTATACGAATTCAAACACTTGAAAAAGACTGAGAAAATTCTTCTCTTCATCTTTTTTGAGGAGGGAATTTTGTGAATTGTAAAATAAAATTTCTCTAAAATTTCTCAGTTTATGTCTGAAAAAATATTTTAAAACTTTTTCAAATTTTGAAGATTTTATCAGAATCTTAAATATTTCAGATTTTACATAGAAAGAATTTTAGAAAAGATGTAGACTTTCTTGACACTTTTGAAAAATGTTCTAATATTCATAAAAAATTCTGAAAAAAATTTTTGCCACTTTCGCTTCGTACTACTAAAGCCTATTCTACAATGTGTTTTTCTACTTCTTACACCTTGTCTTTTTGCTTCTTATCAGGTTTTTTTATGTCGTCAAATAAAAGTTAACGAACGAACTTGAAAGAAGCAGAAATCGAAATACATAGCAAGAAGTGCAATTGTTTATTATATTTCCTGTTTATTATATTTTATCTTTTGCTTTTTTCTCCTTTGTAACCGTTTTATCAACAATTGTATTTTTTACTACGTATTTATTTCTTTCGTTAACTTTTATCTCAGACGATATAAAATAAAAAAAAACTGAATAAGAAGCAAAAAGACAAGATATAAAAAATAGCAAAAAACAAGAAACTAGAAACAAAAAGCACATTGTAGGACAGGCTTTAATGCCTCATAAAACTTTTATTTACTTATCGCGTTTAAATTGACAATCTGCCTCGGTATAACAGACCATGTCATCCATGTAACACTCATCGATCGTCGGCACACGACGGTATTGTTGATGATACCATGGATATTTCTTTTGATTCGGTACTACTAATTTTTCTGCAATGAAAGACATTCATTTAGGGATACATTCCAAAACATTCTCTCCGAGGAAAATTTTTTATTCGAAATATATAATACGCATGTAACACATATACTATAATGTATAGAGTAAAATCTTCCTCAGAGTGGACGGAATTTTGGAATTTCGTAGCCTAAGAGGTTACGAGAGAGGAACAACACAACCACGATTAGATAATACCTCGTACATAGGTGACTGGCGCATCCAGCACATAAATTACAGAATTCATAAGTCTGTAAAGAAGGTTTTCTTGTTCTGCCATAATTTTTAACTAGGCTGAATAAAAAAAATCGGCAACAATCAATACTCTTCTCGTAAGATTATTCTTACGCACTAGCGACACGAAACGCGTTACGTGATGTCACAATCATATGCGATAGCGATACAAGCGACACTGCGCGATTCATAGTCGTTACTTCGTATTGCTTGGTACTTACAGTGGAAGAAACCATAATTACAGTAATAACAATAACAGGAAAATGTAAAAGAGAGAAATCAGTATACATACAAATAATAAATCAAAAACTTAAAAGCAATTACGGAGAAAAAAATAATTTCGCTTTTTATACATATATCTTTATATAAATATAAATTTCAGAGGAATAAATTCTTTTTTCAAAACAAAATAACTCAAAAAAATCCAAAGATAATGAAAGACTGCAAAATAAAATTGAAAAAAAAAAAGTTTGTGATTCATTACTTAGAACTTCAGTACTCCATAATCTGTAATCCTTAGATCTGTTCGTATTATTCGAATCAAAAAAATATTCGGTCATTGAAGAAAGAAGAAGCAAAAACAAGTATAAAATGTAAGCAACGCGAATAGATCTATTATTTTTTAATGGACAGTTCGATATTGCGTTATATTATTGTCGCACATGTTTTTTTTATGTGCAATGTAATATGCGCAATAATGTATTAGTATTGCTATTTAAGAATTATAGAATCTGTCTTTTCAAAGGATATAAATATACAGGAGAAAATGCAAAGGGACAAACATATATAAATATGTATAAAAACCAGTTTGTAAGATTCTTCAAAAATCTATATTTTTTTTTCTCGTAAATTATGCTCAGTAGAACATAGTTTTACTGCGCCGGCGGTGCGGCCGGTATACCGACTGTACGCGCCTCTTCTTCACGTAGACGATCCTTCTTGAGTTGTCCCATGAAGGAGGCTTTATCGACGGCGGTCTGGAAACGACCGTGTCCGAATTTGGAGCTAGTATCGATGAACTTAAGATTGATCTTCTCCAACGCTGATCTCTTGGTATGCACCAATAAAGACTGCAAGATACAACATTTTTATGTTAAAAATACGCTTGTAAATATCTATTAATATAATATCAAATATATTTCATCAGTCCTATCATTTAATTATCATCGTAATTATCAATAATATTAAAAGCTCTATAGAAATTCATCATATAAAGCAGAATAATGTATCATTGTTCGTTGATATCATCTTTACCTTCCTCAGTGTAATCACGCGCTTCTTCGGACCCATGCAGCATCCCTTGATCATAATGAAGTCATTGTTAACTTCACCGTAATGCGGAAAGCCACCCATAGGTGTAATGCTCTTGTCAGTGAGATCATACTCTGTCGAAGCATTGTTCTTCACAATCTACAAATGCAAATAGACGTCATAATAAATATAAATTCCAATCAATCATTTTCAACGAATAGTTCACAAACTATAACCTTGTAACTTGTCTTGGAGGCCTAAAACACTAATGTGTAAATTATGCATTAGGTACTATGAACAAGTAACGTTCATATTCGCCTCTTTAAATCAATCCTTTTCTTATATTCCAAAGATCGATATAGGGGAAGAGGCACTAATAATTTATGAATCCAAAGTGATGATTACCTTGCCATCCTTAGTATGGATGCCTTGTCCGATTCTATAGATCTTTTTGTTCATCTCAGTGCGATGGTGATATCCTTTCTGACCCGCGCGCGCAACAGTGAAAGACACGCGGCTGGGATGCCACGCACCAATACAGGCAACTTTCCTCAAACCCTTGTGAGTCTTACGCGGCAATTTCTTCGTGTGCCACCTGGATGTAACGCCTGCAAAAAGCGAGAAAAATGTTAATATTTTTTAAAAATCACGCGCACTTGTCGAGTAAGGATGATAGCTATATTCGATTCATAATTAGTTATCTTCAATGGTTAAGGACTTCAGTAGGAAGGCAGCATGGTATTATCCTCAAGATAATCAGATAAGTGCACGTCATGCTTTTTTCATCATACAGTCCTAAGTACTTTCTTAAAAGCATGCTTTTCAGAGTGTGTGTATGTGTGTGTTAGGTCAAAAACAGGGTGGTTGTGCCAAAAAGCGGCAATTTCGAAGCAGGAGAAGAGGGGGGACAAACAACACACACAACACATACATATATAGAGGAATGTACCTTTGTAGCCCTTTCCCTTGGTAACTCCAATTACATCGATCATTTCGTCAGAAGCGAACACGCTACTAATAGGCACAGGTTTCTCCAAATGTTCGCGCGCCCATTGCACCTTATCTTCAATGGTGCCGCCGTTCAATTGGATTTCCATTATATGGGCTTTCTTTTGACGCTGCCTCAGCAGTTTCATCTAGAAGACAATGAAAAGAATAAATTACACAGTGCAACTAATTTTGATCATTTATTTATTTTTCAACAAGACAATCTGTTTTTTTATTTCTTCATTGCACTAAAATTCTTTTTCTTACTTTCACCAAATATCAAACATATATCTATCCTATTTCACTTTTAGTTTCCAAAAGTGCATACTATTTCCACAGAAAATGACTTATAAGTAGTAAATCTTTTCATACTTAAAAAAAAAAAGCTTTTAAAAAATTTCATAACTTCAATTTGTAGAAATTCTACTTTCAATCCCTTGCATAATAATGCAAATTTGTAATACGTGTTATAAGAAATTCACATATTTTTTGAAAATATATAAAAGTAAATGTGAAGCTTCTTTTATCGTTTATTACAATTTAAGCAAAATATTTGAAATAATAAAATTTATTAATATTATTTTTAAAATCAAAAATAATGACAATATATTAAATATTGATTAACAAGGTTTTTGTTTTTCAACACAATTTGAATAGTGATTTATGTGTCTTTTTATATATTTTACTTTATAAGAAAAAAAGTTGTAAATTATTTTAAATTTTGTTTTCGAAAAAAAAAAAAAAAAAAAATTTATTCTCAAAATCTATGGTCCATGGAACTTTCTTAATTTTTTATTCTTTTTCAGTAGCTAAAAAATATACAAGAATAATCATTGAGTTAAGGAACAAAAATTTTATAATAGTGTTATCATCACAAATGTATCTAATATTTTAATATCGTTGCATAATCTAGTTACCTGAGTATGAGCGATGATGCGAATGACACTGCAATATTTCTTGATCTTCTTGAGATCAGCCTCAATGGACTTGCGGCCGAGGTCATCTTGCCATTTCTTCGATGCTTTCGTAAATGCCTTCTTCTTGCTCTTATACCTGTCGGAAAATCAATTGCAATGCCCATCTATGCATGTGTCTTGCATACACCTAGATATCTCTGCAACGTGCCAGTCTCATCGTAATGAGTGGAGACTGAACACATTTCTTGAACTAGCCCATTAAAAACCAAGGCTTTAATGGCCACATCCAAATGATTACTCTCATCGTGTGAGCGGAGAGCTGATGTGATAATTTTTAGTACCGTGTATGTAAAATAATGGTATTTGTATAACGAGAATTAAGAGAAGAATAGAGAACTGTACTAGGTATGGTTTGTCTCAATGGTCACTGCCTAATAGGCTCCAAAAAGTCTATGGAATATACCTTGTTTCCATGCATTCTGCATAAACAGAGCAGTTTTTTTTCGACATGGCAGTCTTGAGAATTTACTGCATTGAAAGCAGCTCTTGCACTGCAACCCAGATGGATCAATACATTTCCGCACTGATCAACATCCAAGCTAACACATCGCAATTCATACAATTTTAAAATCAAAATGAACGATCATTTTAATATTTTAAATATTTTAAATAGTTTCTACTAACCAGTTCTTGTAGAAACGTCTGCGGCAATCTTCTGACAAATGTTCCGCCCAGATAGTGGCAAGCGCTCTAAGTCCATGTGGTGTTTCAATGTATCCAACAAGACCAACAACAATCATCGGTGGAGTTTCGAGGATAGTAACAGCTTCCACAATCTCCTTCTTATTCACCTCTATAAAAAAAAAATTAAAATTTATTTTTTGTAATAAATTCTTTAATATTTTAAAATGTTTATTAACAGGTTGAGAATTTCATAAAAGTAATAAGTTATCGTTACGATTACAATTTTCACTGTATAATATATAGGGTCTTTCAATAGGGAACGCTCGAAATTTATTAGATCATAGTAGCCATGTTGTAAAGTGACATCTGTCAAATTTGTTGTGAATTGTTTAGTGTACGACAAATCACCATGGAAGGTCATAGTGTTGAGCAACGTGTGCAAATCATAAAATTTTATTATCAAAATCAGTGCTCCTTTCGAGAAATTCCGCCCATTACGTGATTTTTATCCTCGCCACAACCGTCCTGCCGAGTCGACTATTCGATGTTTGGTTGCTAAATTCGAGTCAACCGGTTCGATAAATAATCAGCCAAGTACATCGCCAGTACATCGCCGAAATGCAAAGTCTGCTGAAAACATCGCTGCTGTGCGTGAGAGTGTATGGGAAAACCTAAGGCGGCCAATCTCTCGTCGTTCACAAGAACTGGCCTTTCTGCGACTTCAACTTGGCGAATTTTGCGTCGAAAATTTTGGGTCTGCACCTCTATAAAATTCAACTGACCCAGGAACTTAAGGTAAACGACCATAGACAACGCCGTGTGAAGTTAATCCAAATTTCCCCAAACAAATCATCCTTAGCGATGAAGCCCATTTTTGGATGAATGGATATGTGAACAAGCAAAATTGTCGAATTTGGGACGATATCAATCCACGCGAGATACACCAGCTCCAAATGCATCCCGAAAAAGTCACTGTTTGGTGCGGATTTTCTGGCAGAATCAACGGTCCTTCTTCCAAAACGAAGCGAGCGTTGCCGTCAAGCGTTGCGGGCGAGCGCTACAGATTGATGATAAGCAACTTCTTGTGGCCTAAAATGGACGATATGGATACCGATAACATGTGATTCCAACAGGATGGCGCTACACTGCATGCTACGATGGACATTCTGCATGAGCGATTTGAGGACATAGTTATTTCGCGCGGCAGCGACGTGAACTGGCCACGGAGATCGTGCGATTTAACGCCTTTAGATTTCTTTCTTCGGGACTATCTTAAATCGTAGGTCTATATGAATAAATCGCAAACAATTGATG